GTATCTTTTTAGAATTCATAAAGAGAGTCCCCCAGGATATTTCACAGTATGATGATATGCAGCATACTTTCCTGACAGGTCATTATTGCAAATCTTGCGGGCATCCAGTACCTGCCATATGAGGCACAGCCTCAGACTTAGTATCACCTCCATAAATAGAAATCAAGGATTTTGTCATAGAATCATAAGGATCTATAAGAACTCAGAAGTTGCCAGATAACTGATCTACACTTAGAACTCTTATTTTTTTCCACAAAAATATAATTCACCAAGCCTGTGTTATTTTTGATGAAAGTCAAATAACTGTATGGACCACCATAAAACTAATAAGTTTCAAATCCTGTTTATATCCAGAAACCTGTATTTCACCCTTTTCCATCACATATGCACATACAGGAAGAATTTCACTGTGAGATTTAAGGCGAGTCAGCAGTGATATTCTTGGGCTGGTGATACCACGGAGAAAAACTGCCTCTAAGCTTTTTTATTAGTATATTATGCTAATGCCATTGCATTTTGAGAACAATGGGTTTTAAGATCTGCTTTTCCACACAGAATTGTTGCACTGGGTTTTACTGTATCCCGTCCATCGTGAAAGCATATTGGAAAATACGATTAGCCAATTGTGCCACTAAAATTGGACGATATGATTAGAGGGTAGAAATATATGAACCCTCCAACTACATTGTCAATTTTTTAGCATCAAAATAGCCAAAAGTTGGTAGCAATGTTTATAGCATCGACATATCAATCCTAAAATAAAATAAAATAATCTTAACATAATTTTAGGGTTTCTATAAAAGCTTTGAAACATGCAACTGCCCAAAGAAGAGAAAAACTCATTTGCCACTTATATCTGTGATGTGGCCCAACTCACTTTGTATGGCGTGTATGTGTATGTATCAGCAAAAATGAGCTAGCAAACTTTAAAAAAAACCCACCAAAATTAAATCAAATAGATGAAATCAAATACTAACATAACAAAGATAATATAACACATAAAACTGTGGCATGCCTTGCTATAATGGTGCGAGTGTTGCAATCTAAAATATTACAAAATATTACAGACTATGAAGTAAAATATATATCATCAAAAAACGAGAGAGCTAGTATGTGTTAAATCTAAAGTGATAAATAAAACAGAAGTGATTGTTTCTGTAACCAGTTATGCCTCGTTTTCATTGCAGCAACATAGAATTTAGCTACTGCAATGGTAATAAACACTTCTAGAAGTTGATTCACATAGAAATTACCTGGTCTCCCTGGAAATTTATGTATTGGGGACAGAATATAATCAGATCAGATATCCCTACACAATTGACTGCATAGTAATACATGTGAAATGGGTTCAACCTCCTTGTTCAACCACAAGGGCAGGTATGCTTGGCTAATGGGGTTTTGGAGTATCTGCCTTGCAGCTGGGTAGATGGTAAAATGTTATGCCCAACTGAAAAATGCTATTCTCAGCTTGAGGAAATTTAGATTTTGTGGCTATCTTCCTGGTTCCCAAGGGCCCTTATGTATCCAGTTTCTGCCATGTTCGGCAGCCTATTAACTTCAGTCTGAAACTCCACATCCTTTTGTCTTTAAGTGAACGGTTGTTTGGCTTGGTCATATCCTAACAAAAATTAGGAATAGTACAAAAAGTTTATACAATACCAATTTCTTCTCTATGGCCTGTTTTCAGGGAAAAGGTAAATTGTCGATTAAAATTAAAAGGGTCAGTCTGACTGGGAAGAATTGGATTTTCACCCAGTAGTTTATCATTCTCCTCCAAGCCTTTAGACAGAATAGCAGCCATTTCTGTCTCAAACCTTAGTGTGGTGTTTGGCACTATCCTGTTCCATTGGATGCAGCAAAGCCTTGATCTCAGATTTTCATTTGCACAGTTTCTAGTGCATCCTTCTTCACATAAATTCCTACTTATGCTCCATAATGGATTTGGTCCAGTGGTTTGTTCTCAAAAATTTTAAATACCACAGGGATTATTTGTCCTCTGTTTTTATAAAAGAAGCACTTAATAACACTTATTAGACCTAAGAAGGGAACACGGTGGCTCAGTGGCTAAGACACTGAGCTTGTCGATCGAAAGGTCGGCAGTTTAGCGGTTCGAATCCCTAGTGCCGCATAATGGGGTGAGCTCCCGTTAATTGTCCCAGCTTCTGCCAACCTAGCAGTTTGAAAGCACGTAAAAAATGCAAGTAGAAAAATAGGGACCACCTTTGGTGGGAAGGTAACAACATCCCATGCGCCTTTGGCATTTAGTCATGCCGGCCACATGACCACAGAGACGTCTTTGGACAGCACTGGCTCTTTGGCTTTGAAACAGAGATGAGCACTGCCCCCTAGAGTCGGGAACAACTAGCACATATTTGCAAGGGGAATCTTTACCTTTACCTTTCGACCTAAGAGTTTCACTATGGTATATGACTGTATATTCCACCCCAAGGAATTTAAATGCAGTAACTTGCTCTAACCTTTGCCCTTCTACTCTCCAAGATTGTAGAGTGGGTCTCTTAGCAAAGGCCAGAATTTTAGATTTCTAAAAATTAAGATGATGTTGTTTATGGTGCCAAAATATTGCTGCTATTGCTTTTTTCAGCCCTACAAGCACTAACAGCCCTATAGTTTGTGAAATTGGGGTGGCCTCATTAGTGTAGAGGAGTATAGGGACTTTGTGCCCTGCCAGTTTTGATGCTTGAAAATCTGAATTATGAGGAAGGTCCACCACTGAATTGATGTAGAAGTTAAAAAGACAGGGGACAGAGTATATCCCTGTCTCATTCCTATGCCAGACAGGGACCCTTGGAGATTTCACCTTGCTCAAATGAAGGTGAATATTTGACCCACAATAATGTTACAGGATCCAACCTGAGTTGGTCACTAGAACCAGAGGTTTAGTCTTCTGAGTTTTAGAACTCATGCTGGAGCCCATCCCCAGGGAACTTCTCTCTACTGGAAAGTGTACTTTGGGCTATTCTATGCACAATATTTATGTGGTGTCTGATTGTGGGTGGTGTTTTAGTTGTTAATTGAGGTGTTGATGGCTGGTTATTACGTTGTTGCTTGTTGTTTTCTTGTGCTGCAAGTCCTTGGCTCCTAAGTAACTGATAAGCTGGTGATAAATTAGCATTCCTGTTGACTATGACAAGGGACCTGTTTCTCAGGCTTTAATCATTTCACCTTGCTCTTAACACGGTGATGGAACAGAATTTCTGTATCAGAAAAAGAGGGTGCCTTTCAATAGCTGTGTTTTTAATTTTTTTCCCAAACAGCATTATTAGAAATGGAGTCAAAGGCATCTTGAAAATCTGGAAAGGCCAAAAAAGAGGGAGGTTTTTTTTTTTATGAGTGTATTTTTTGTGCTGAATGATAGAACAACCAGAATGTGGTCTGCCATTAACCTTCCTTCTCTGAATCCTGCCTGCTCGTCTTGGATTATATCCCCAGTCTCCAGGGGTGGGCTCCTGGGGGTTTGGCAGGGTTGGGGCAATCCTCTAGCCAAGGATCGCCGGGGTTTGGTGAACCCCCAAATGCCACCTCTGGCTAGCCACACCCACCCCGCTCCTCCCAGGAGTCTCCACGCAGCGCGTTCATCATTCCAGGTAAGTGCAGGGGCCGTGCAGATGGTCTGGGAGGGTAAAAAACAGGCCTACCGGAGGTTCCAGAAGTCTGGAAATGGGCCTGTTTCCAACCTCCGGACGGCCTCCAGACACTGGGGAAAGCAGTTTTTGCCCTCCTGGAGGCTTGAGAAAAGCCTCCGGAGCCTGAGGAGGGCGAAAACACACCTCCCCCACCCCCATGGTGCAGACAGTCAATTTAGCCATGCCCACCCACCAACGGGGCAGTGAACCCATTGCTAAAGGATCTGAAGCCCACCCCTGCCTGTCTTTATAAAGTCTTGGAGCTTGTGATTTAAATGTTTAGCATATAAAGCTGAATATTGTTATCACTCTTTTTATAAATTGGGATTATTATTGCTAGCCCCCAGTCTTTTGGAACATAACCAGTACAATCTATAGGTCTAAATAGGAATCGTAGCAGAGGTGCCCACCAGCTGGGATTACATACAACCCACATACAACCCTCTAAAATTGAGCTTGAATTGATACTAGATTGACTGGGGAGGCTAGCAGTTTTCCTAGTCTTCAGGTAGTATGTCAAAAGAGGGAAGAATCCCTCTTCCTGACTGATTGAGTTACTTTTTACCAAGTCTCCTTCTTTACCAATCTTTTCTTGTCTTTTAAGAGGGCATTGTATTGAGACTTTAAATTCCTTAGGAAAAGTAGTTCGTCCTCAGAAGGAAAAGGCTTTCTCTTTCGATGGTAATATATGACATTTTTAGCTGTGCATCAGTGGTGGGTTTCAAATTTTTTTACCACTGGTTCTGTGAGTTTGCATGGCTTGATGAGCGTGGCTTGGTGGGTGTGGCAGGGGAAGGATACTGTAAAATCTCCATTTCCTCCTGATCAGCTGGGACTCAGGAGACAGAGAATAGATGGGGGCGGGGCCAGTCAGAGGTGGTATTTACCGGTTCTCCAAACTACTCAAAATTTCCACTACTGGTTCTCCAGAACTGGTCAGAACCTGCTGAAACCCACCTCTGCTGTGCACAGTTCTGATCAAACCACATTTTTTTAATGTTTTACACCACAGTTGCTTTGTTTTGTTTTGTTTTTGTTTTTTTTTAGCAAAAGCCGATTTCAAATTAAAACTAACAGATCACAGAAGTCCAAACAGGGTTTCTGAGACTTGTTGAGTAACAGGTGTGTACAAATTTCTAACTTTTCTGGGGCGACCTGAAGTGACTGCTTTTGCAATATTTTCATTCCATTTATTTCATACCTCTGTGTTGCTAGTTTTTAGCAGTGGAGCAAAAGAAGCACATTCAAGCAATATTCAAATATGAACTATGCCAGTTGCTCAGTTTGCTTCCCTCTCAGATTTTCCATGAAATAACAAGACGTTTTCTCCACTAACAGCAGTGATTTTTATTATAGTGATTTTGTCTCCAAGCTGGTTTGAAGAACATGAGAACAAAAGTTAGTCTCTCAAACAAAAGATCCAAAGCATAGAAGAAATACCCTGAAGGTCACACACCACCTAGCACCTGAGGTGAAGATGGGGGAAATGCTGTTTCTCCAAGGGGAGGTAAGAATGAAACCTACCACTTGCAATTGATCATGGTAGACAATGGGCAGTAATTGAGTTCACAGCAGGGATGCTGTAAATTCATTGTGTAGTAGTATTAAGTGTTAAGTATTAACATAAGCATAAACATAAGCATAAACATATTAAGCATTAAGCATTAAGTGTTGCAGGATTGCCTCCCCACCCCAAAAAAAAGCCAAATTAGTTTTCTCAAGAATTGCTGCCTAAATCCAGAGACTTGTCTCTTTGACTATCTTTAATATTTTTCGGAGTATAAGACACACCTTTCCCCCCCCCAAAAGAGGCTGAAAATTTGAGTGCGTCTTATACTCCGAATGTAGCTTTTTCAAAGCTTTTTTTTCAGCCCTAACGAGGCGCTAAAAAGGCACTAGTGAGTGAAACTATCTTCCCAGCTTTGCCTGCTCCCTCGACTCTCTGCTGTGCTTTATCGAAGTGCTAGCGAGTGAAATGATCTCCATCCTCCAACTCTCAGCTGTTCTTTAGAAGCTTTTTTTCAGCCCTAACTAGGCACTAGCCGAGTGAAGCGATCTCCCCGTGCTTTGCCTGCTTTTCTCATTGCTGCTTCCTCTCAGCTGTGCTTTAGAAGCTGTTTTTTATTCCCAAGCAGGGGATAAAAAGCCAGCAAACTAATGTGCTGAAGCTGACTAGACTAAGGATGCTAGCCAGATGAATACCTGGTAGGCAGATTTTTTTTCCTTATTTTCCTCCCCAAAAACTAAGCTGCATCTTATACTCCGAAAAATACGGTACATACAAGCATAATTTACTATAATATGATTTATGAAGAATCACCACAAAAAGTGGTATTTCCCTCATGCTTTCTTCTCTGTTGTTGCTAGTTGTCTTCAGTACAACAACTAGAGCTGTTGTTCCTTCCTCAGTTCAACATGGCAGTCTTTGCAAGTTATAGCACTTGCTCTTATGTGGAAAGATCTTTGTTTTGCTTCGGATATGATCTATGAATACTCACCATATAGTCATGGTGGTGCAGCGGTTAGAATGCAGTATCGCCAGGCTAATTCTGCCCACTGCCAGCAGTTCGATTCTCACCAGTTAACTCAACCTTCCATCCTTCCGAGGTCAATAAAATGAGGACACAGATTGTTGGGGAAAATATGCTGACTCTAAACCGCTTAGAGAGAGCTGTAAAGCACTATGAAATGGTATATGAGTCTAAGTGCTATTGCTATTAAATCATATGTATATGTACAAGAGGAATCAACATTTCCTGTCTCACAGACAAAAGCTTCAGATGTTCTGTGTCGAAGGTGTCAAGAAGGAACCCTGAGCTATTTTTATCCCTGTGATCCATCAATACATAACATGGAATCTGTTTAATTCCCAGTTCAGAGAATAAAAATTACTTTGCTCTTCGTTGAAGCTCTAGGTGCAAAGCTAAGTTTAAATTATTATATTTTCTTTTTTTAAAAAAAAAGAAAGGAAAAAGAAAAAAGAAAGGTTGAACAGAGCCACAGTCAATGGGCTGAAATAGGAATGTGACAAGTTGACATCATGTAAAATGAAAATGAGACAAAACTGGGATATCAGCCAAGCAGAACCTCCCACGTGGCTGACTAATGTTCTATATCCCTTTTGAGAGAGAGTACCTGTGCTAAGCATGTGAATGTTCTTTCATCCTCTCCAAGCTTACATGGTTTAGAGGTGGGTGGATATGACTACCTATTGCACTCAGAATCGCTGTTCTGTTTTTTTCTCCCTGGGTTTATTCACTAACCTGATACATTTACTCTTAAGAATGGCTTCTGTTTGCAGATCACCAACATAGCAAATTGAACTGATTCGGTATTAAGTTAAAGGTTATGCCCAAAATAATTCAATTCTAATACAGTAGGATAACGGAATCATAATGATGGAAAGTATGAAATTCACATTTTGGAACAGAGCATTTAATCCTCTTTAGAGACCTGTGGATAATGCCGTATATCAGCTTCAAAATATTTCAAACCTACCCTTGAAATGCAGAATGAATTGTCTATGAATTCACAAGTAAGTTGCCTTTTGAAAGTTCTGCGAATATATTTAAACTATTTAAAGGTTAAAAGGTAAGGGTTTTCTTCCTGTTGCTATTCCTCATGGGTGTGTGATATACAAAATTATATAAATGATTCTCTATATAAAATACGTAAAATACTTTATTTAAAAACATAGATTTGCACTCAACGTAGTCTTAAGAGGTCAAGCAACAGCCATGTTTAAGAGGAAAAAAGAAGATGCAGAGAAGATATTTAACACGGGTGCCACATGGGTCTTCTTGGGGAGGCTTCACTTTGGATTCCAAGGCTGACTGAAGAACCAAATTAAATACATGAAGATCAGTGATGGGTTTCAAAAAAATTTACTACTGGTTCTGTGGCTTGGTGGGCGTGGCATGGCTTGGTGGGTATGGCAGGGGAAGGATATTGTAAAATCTCCATTCCCCCCCCACTCCAGGGGAAGGGTACTATAAAATCTCCATTCCCTCCCCAATCCCCTTCCAGGGGAAGGTTACTGCAAAATCCCCATTTCCTCCTGATCAGCTGGGACTTGGGAGGCAGAGAATAGATTGGGGTGGGGCCAGTTAGAGGTGGTATTTACCAGTACTCCAAACTACTCAAAATTTCTGCTATTGGTTCTCCAGAACTAGTCAGAACCTGCTGAAACCCACCTCTGATGAAGATCCATTCTTTGCACATCTTTCAGATTGATTTAAGATTTTAAATCCAACACTATTTGGATTTATACAGGATGTCATATGATGCTATCAGGCAGTCACAATTAATAAACTGTCCACTGTATCTTAGAATGGCTGAATTTTGTCAAATTACCTTCAAACACAACAGCTTCATGTACCATCCATTGTCATATTCAAGGTTACCAAAATGTGTATCATTTGATGGTAGAGGATTACAGTTGGTGTATCAACGTAAATTGATAAAAAGAATCCCAGCATCTCCAGGGCCAGGAATGTCTCCGGGAACAATGCACGACATGTGTAGACACCTGTATCCATTCCTGATCTTTCAAGGAGTCATCATCCCAATCAAAAGAAGTGAAAGTTTGGATGTCATCATGCCATTTGTCCTTCAAGTAGAAACTCCTGAAGCTTTATCATGAGTTCAAAGAGAGTCTGGATCTTGAAGCAGCATACAAATGAAACCTTCAGCCAATATTTGGAAGAGACACGAGAATTTAAATTATTTTACCTTTTTAAAGGATTATGCCATGGAAAAATCAATACATCAATAGTACACTCTTTTATACAATTTCAGAAGAACAAATGAGTTAAAAGCATTCTTGGGGCCCTCTCATGAATGTCGCCGATTTGCCTTCACCTCTTCCCCTTCTTTCTGTCTTGTAATAAACCTAGTCATCTTATTGATTTGTTTTACCCCCAGTTGTTAAAGCTGCAAAAGTAGTTGTGACTCTCAATTTTACCAAGGTACATCACGCTGGCAGCATAGTGAAGCTTGAATCACAACATTCTGCTAAGTTTAAATGTCTTACGCTACAAAGTAATCAGCAGGAATAACGGTACAAGGAGAAGCGGCAATTATCTTTGCAATATGTATTCACAAAGCAACAGGGCTGGCCTGTGGGATTTAAAACTGCCATTGTTATCCGAAATGTTAGCAGCTGCAGCCTTCACTGAATGTTACAGGTCTACAAATAGCATATTCTATTTTCATGGCTGTGAATAAGTGTACCGCAGCTTTCTCATGTAGTGACAGCAATATTCCCAGTCTGCTTTTGAGGACAGAAAGATGGGGCAGTTGGATTATAATAGTAGTGAGGCTGAAGGAGACATTAGTACTACACCATATACTACAATGTCTTCTCTTTTCCACCAGGAGTTTCAGCAGTTTCTCCTATATTCTTTGCCAGCTCCCCTCTGCTCACTGGGACATGTTGTCAGATGTAGGAGTCCTGGGACTTTTGAGTGATATGTTTTTTTTTTTGGTCTGAACCAAAAATTAAATCCAAATTAAATATTTCTTTCTTTCTTGGGCGCGTGATGGGGGAAGCAAATCGTTTCGTTTTGTTTTTATCCTTTTTACACTGAGAGCTTCTACACAGGAGACAAATTCCTTGTGTGTTTAATCACACTTGGCCAGATAAAGTATTCTGTTCTGTTCTGTTCTGTTCCATTTTATTTCTTTGGGTTTTGGCCACTTCTGTACACTGGAAATATATGGCAGAATAGCAACTGTTTATTTCCTAAAAAATGGGGAAAAGTTTTATTTTCACACCTGTTTTAATGGTATAAAATGTACCTCAACCCAGAATTTTGTGTTAGGAAGAGATCGCAATTCTCAGCAGCAGAAGAATGAAATTTAACCCTGTCAAATCTCTGGAAGTCTCTCTGTAGTAGCATTCCAACTGCTAGGAGAAAAAAGAGAATGTTATTGTCAGTATCATGCACATGTTTATGTATAGGGTGATTATGTAAGCTCTGTTGACATCAGAGTTCCTACTACAAAGTCATCAACTGCTAACCTTAATCTTCTGCCTCTCCATTATTTCTCTTGAAATCATCTATGAAGCACCACTTTGTCTACTATGAAGGTCTCACAAAGTGATTTTGGACCAATTCCAATCTTTCATCTCCCTGTTATTCTCATGGCCATAAGGTCCATAGAATTTTTCTGACAGCGACAAGAACATGGATAACCAAGATGTTTTTCTAGAGGCCAGGCATTTCCCAGTGAAAAGTATCCATCCATGCTTGGTTTTTTGAGGTCACCAAAGCACATTTAGGGTGGAGTTAGAGTCCTTCTTTTTTATTCCAAAATCCATTTGTCAAGAAATGTATGGGATCCTGCTATTCTTCAGACTTAAATTCTGGATCTTGGCTAGTTGTCTGGTTAGGGGTGATGTCAGAAAAAACTAGAAGCAGCAATAACCTGCCTCTGATTCTGCTTTCCAAAACTGGGGTTTTATGGATGCTCAATGCTCTGCTCTCACTGCCAAAGCATAGAAGG